TGCAGTCATACTTTCTGTATTATCACCTCAAATAAGGTACCACTACCTTGCAAAATAAAAACAAGATTCTTACCCTCCCGAAAAAAGAAAAACACTAAAACTGGTTACAAATGTGTCACACGTATATCACACACATGCTCTTTTTACTCAATTAAAGGTTGTTAGAGCTCCGCATCTGCATTATTACCGGCTCCTATTATCGTATTAAGCAGCACTAAAAATCAAAGTAGCTGTATCTTACCAATATCAAACTTAACTAAAAATATAATCACCAATCACACACGGCTACGTGAATAGTGGCATGTACCCACCCCCTGTACAAACCATGGTATCGCATTCATCAGATTCATTCTACCATCTTTATTAAACACTGTGAATCATTGAAACTCCAGGCATAAGTGTCCGTTTGGTGACTTCATGTTGATAATATCTACCCTATAATTATTTGTTATAAATAGAAACGTATTGTGTTAACTAACGCAAAGCGAAAGGCACTTCTGCACATAAGATTAAGTAGGGATGTTATTGTAACACTGTGTTAGATAAGTGCTGTACGCGAACTGCCATCTTGGGGCTTGTCAATTTGCATTTGTTGCAGCTACCATCTTTCTCTGAGAAAACAAATAAAATTAATTGAATGATTTATTTATTCATTCATTTATTAAAAATATGAGACAGACGTCCGCCCACGTCCACGACTGGTGACTAGGTTTTCAGCGTGCACGTGAACGGATTCTGTGTGATCGCATGGGATTATCCTTCGCTTATTGTCAAGTCATCTTGAGACAGCGTGTATACGGTCCGTTAATCCCCAAGCTGACAGTGCGAAGGAAGGTACACGCTATAGCCGGACCAATAAACCGCATCTCTTTCATCATCTAACCGCACTCTCTGCGCGCGAGAATGCTAGAGAGCGTTATCACGCGGCAAAAGATAGAGGTATGACTGGTATAATAAGCATGCAACTCCCTGCACACCGTCAATTCAGGGGTGAACGAAGAAATAGGAAGTATTCACATGTCGTGATCAACACGAGCTTTGGATAAAGCAACTCATCGTCTGCCATGAACAACAGTTTCGATGATGCGAAAGAAATCTGGCCAACGCTTGCTGTCAGCACGACCCTAATAAAGGAGTACACATCTATGGCGGCCCGTTAATATATCCTATACGGTGAAAATTGAGGGAGAAAAGTAGATGAGAGCGCGTGGAAACGTTTGAGCGCCTAGTTGTGATTAGAATGATAAGGGGAATTTGATTCTACTCACGGTTCGAACACGCTTGAACAGCGAGTGGAACCTTTACGTCTACCCTTTAGTCATTCCAGTCAAAGCTCGGCACACCGACGTTCCCAAGTACTCTCATATCTTCCCCTCCCTCGGTGTCTTGCCGCATGGAAAGCTTGAGGCTTTGAATACATAAAACGAGATCTGCCTTCTGCTCGGAACAGGGCGGAGCAAGAGAAAGAGAGCGAGAGAGGCGAACTCTGTGTTCACAAACCCGGAGGACAGTCTGGAAGACGTGTCCGACCTTCTCCAACCTGACATGGGTCGATGTCCCGCGTCTGTCCTGGCGCGCGAGACAAAAGTCGTCGACCTTGCTGCTCGCACCGTCAACAGCGCGCCACGAGTCGGCGGCGGAGAGCGCGGGGCTTTTCGAGAGCCGTCCATTATTGTCGGGGATTCTGGAGAAGTGCCCACTACATGTCAGTTTCCCCGTCGTTGAACCGAACGGCGACTTCAGTTCCCGAAATTGGAGTTTCTTCTTCGTCGCCATTCCTCTCTAGCTCCGGAGCCCCTCTCAGCAATTGGCAGGCAGGCGGCAGTCGTGTCGTCTGCTCGGCGTGACTCAAGTGCAAATCAAGTCAGATATTAGTTTCTCTCTGCCTCCGCGGTTGAGGTCTGAAAGCTTTGCCTTGTCGGGTCGAGAACGCGCCGGAAATATTTCGGGAGCAGCGGGTGAAAGGAAGGAAAAGGGCAAACATAAGCCGATTGCCAACAGACAAACGGACATGAGCTAATAGACGACTCTTTTTAACCTGACGCCCAGTAATTTAGTTGCACTGATCGGTGTCTTCAATGAACTGACTGAGATTTTATTCGAAGTTGCAGTGTCATAGTGCAAGGTAGGCGCACGGAAAGGCGGTGGGTACTACAGGCCAGCAGAAAAAAATCAGCCGCTAGTAACCGGCCATAAAAACAGCTCTTCGTTATTCCTTGGCAAAGCATAAGCAATAAAATATTTCTATCGGGCCGTAGTTGGCGTCTACACTGCGCAACGACGTTAGCGTGAACAAGCCATCGTCATTTTTTTTTTATTTGTATCAAAGAGCTTTATCAACAATTATTAAAATAGTGCAAAGTACTGGTTTGGAGCCCTAACCTAAGTGGCAAAAGTTAATGTCCGCAGTAACCTTTCGAAGTAAAAATCGAAAAAGTACCGACGTTGTGTTTGCACTAACAGTGTCACACCTTCTACACGAGTAGTGTTCGTTCCTGGTTGACGCGGTGGGGTAAGACCCAAACACTATGGTAAATGGACACGAAAAAAAAATTAATTGCATACGCGATCCAACCGAACAAAAAGTCTGACATCTTAAATATAATGCCCAAGGGCCCCCTTGCAGGTTCCAGAGAAAAATAAAGGATGATGGTGATTTGCTTTTCATTTACGTTTACTGTTAACAAAAGCAAACTTGTTTTTAACAAATTGTGTTTTTAGTGTCAATAGCAAGCAGTGCCGATCACGGAACACCTATTGCCGCTAGGATTGTTTTCTCAGGCGTTTCCGCTACGTAGTTCCAGCGTTAACGACCTAACTGATGGAGAATATATATATTTTTTTTATATGTAATACATGTAAATATACAGATATGCTTGTCAGTCAGTATAATTAAAGATCATGAGTCTGACTTTTAATGCGCGTCAAACTAATCTACTAAATTCGTGCAGGGTCCGTATTATTACCTACTACGAGTGAGTTTGCAATGAATGTAAAACTACCTACAAAATTGTTTCTCGGTGACTATATGTTTCCTCTTTTATTATTTCGTTATGTAGGAACACAGTATTGTGGCGGTGAAAAATATCAAGAAAAGATAACCAGACATAAATAAACAACGACCTCGCAGTTTAAAACTAAACGAAAAGGGGGCCTATTTTTAATTCATATATTCAACGTGTCATAGAGTGGTACATAAGCACGTTTTCTACTGGTCAATGATCCCCATAAAGTGATGGCGCCCATCTATTAAGTAAAAATGTCTTATAAAAAAACTGTCTTGGCTTTCTCTTTTGCTTTTTCTTTTTTTTGCTGCCTTTTCTTTTTCTTTTTTTTTGCCTCGTTACGGAGTTAGTGTTAGCGTTTCCCAAAGGGGGACGCGTGTGGCGCTTCCCAAGGGTCATGCTAACAGATTCCCTGAGAATCCACCGATGAATCTTTCGGTAATTGTTTTCACCCTTTTTTTGTACTTTGCCTGTATATACGGTCATATATACGGACACCCTTGTATATACGGTCATATATGCGGACATAAATACGGACACCCTTGTATCTACGGTCATCCATATCACTCGTAGAAAGAACCACATTTGTATACCACTCGTGAAAGGAACTGCATCCATTTCCCTCGTGGGGGAAACCGCATCCATCGTTTTAACTACACGCACACATCACAGCCCACGCACCGCTACTACGGAAACCCAGAGCGAAGAACAACCGGCGACGGCAGAGCGGCAACTGAGCACACCAGCATTCCATCGCGCAGCGGCGCCTACCCCTCCCTGGCTCCGCGCCAGCTGTGCGACGCTGTTTTGACGAAAGCAAAAACGCTTGCTTTGACGAAAACCCGGCGGTGTTTGTCAGTTTGTCAGCGCCGGGGAGAGGGGGATAGAGAGGGAGAGGTTGACGCGTGCTGACGTCAGAGCTTCGGACCAATCGGAGCGTCGCACGCGTCAACCTCTCCCACTTCTTCTCCCTCCCTCCCCGGCGCTGACAAATGAAAGACTTTGCCGGGTTTTCGTCAAAACGAGCGTTCTAAAGCAGCTAAAGCATAGAAAAAAAAAACAGTTTCGTTTCGTTGACCCCCAACTGCTGCAGGGTCCCTGCTGACAACTTAAGAAACACAGAACACGGCCTATCATGATCTTGTTTCGTGATTCGTTATTCGGCTTTTCGATTGGCTGATTGGTTGATGCTAATTAACTGATTGGCGTTCCGATTGGCTAATGCTGATTTGGTGATTGGCAGTCTGATAGGCTGCGAAACGATCATAAAAACCTCAAAACTCTCCATGCCCTCTCGTGTTATAATATTCAAGCAAAATGTGGTTTCTGCCGGTCAGAAATTGTATTTATACTATTAGAAAGCAATCTAGTTTATTGAATAGTTTTGTTACTATTATTAATTAAGTTAGGGCAAGTATTTAACGCGCAAACATTTCTCTGTATGCGCCTTGCTGCTAAAAGTAGTTATTGAAGCATGTTATTTAACTTTATTGAACCCAGTTATTTTATTTAATAATAAAAGACCTAATTAATTTCACTATATTTTTCTTGAAAATAGAGACCCATCTGTTCAATATTAAAATAGAACTCCGTGAGGCAGCTGCAGTTGTGGGTTCTTTATATTCTGCTTAATGATCCATGTATAGTCAGAAGACATTGCTACAACGCGCTAACAAAATCTTTATAAAACATAAAGCTAATATTGTAATCTAGAGAATAAAAAAACTAAATATCATGGGGGCATTAGAGCGGTAGACGACATTTCCCTAAAAGAATTAGCTTTTTAATGCCGCAAATTATATTTTGTTTAGGAAATATGCAACATTAATATATAAACATTAGAAGAGCACGAAATCTTTTAAATCATTTATGAAGCTGTCCGAGATGGCTGGCCCATAAATATTTTATACTTTTTTTTAAAAAAGAAAAAACGAAGTCCCTCGTGTTGAAAATCTGGCTACCACGGGAAAGCGGCCTTAGCCCGGCCCTTCTCACCTAAAATTGTCCTGTCAATCTCGATGTCGTTCCGGATCTGCTCCTCGCTCGGGAACACACTGAAGAAGGAACATGACACTGCAAAACAAGACAAAAAATTTTTTGATTAATCCCACATTCTTCTCTGTAGGCAATTAACGTTGACCAAAGGAATATTTCATAAGCGCGCTATAAGAAACGTCGCTATTTGTAACACTATACTTTGAATCAAACTGACAAAATCGTTCGATGCAGCATTTATGTATTTTTGTAGAGATAGGCTGACAATAGATATAGGTCCCTTTCTCGGGCAAGCGTGTTTTCTAAATAACGCCACGCCGCGATACTCTCAACTTTCTTCCTGAAGCGGTTACCTGGCGGAAAAAGTAGCGAAATCATGGTGGTACTTTTCTCGCCATTAATATAAGCGACAATAGCGACAGTATTGCCGTTTGGTAAGCCGAAAATGCAAAGGAAAATTTCCCTCAAAGTAGTTCACACCGTTTCCTTAAACAATAACTTTCCTTGTTTTTTTTAATACTCTAACAACCTCACGAACGACCTTTTTTGTGTGTGTGGTTTGCAGTTTGCAGTAAGGCTGTTATCGACGCCGACTTCTCGCAGTTACTTTTTTTGCTGTTCACCTACACAAGTTTATATCTCAAAGCCGTGAAGGCACGTGATTTCGTTCACGGTAGGTTTTGGGCGGCGACGTGAGTTAGAATACAGCTGCCTAAAGGCCGGTTCAAACCAAACCAGATTCCGGATGGCGGTTTCCGAAAACCGCAGTCTTTGCGACTTTCGCGAAATAATTATAATAAATATACGTGCCAAATTTCAACTAACTTATAAAATACGCAACCTGAGCCTCTCAAAGTATTCGGATTACTAATATCTATAAATGACCCGCCGTTTTAACTGGTTTGTTATTTATAGTTTTTGTTCTCTGTTACATCTAATGATCTTTTGAGGTTATTTTATATAATATTAAAATATTTTAATTCGAACGCTAGATTACTAGCATTTAAAACATTATTCGGCCGGTGTTGGAATATGCTAACGTTATATGGAAACATTTTTGCGAACTCACCTGGCGAATTTATGCAATGTTTAATATAAAGCCGTCAAGTTCACGTTTTGACAAAAATAAAAGGAGATACGAGTAACTGATTTGGTCCAAAGCGCTGGCATTTCAATTTGGACAAAACAAAAATTTGGTGTGCAGACTAAACGTTTTATAGTTAATTCATGAAAACTGCTGAACTAACCTCAGTGAATACTTAACACACTTAGTAAAGACATAGCCTATTCATAGCCCAATTTATGCCTCATAATGTTGGTTTTAAATATTTGTTTCTCCAACAAACTGTGGATAAGGATGAGTGCCTTCTCGAGAGACAGTTGAATCTGTGTTCTTGTTTAAAACATGACTTCGCGTTTGTAAAAGTGTTATGTTTTACTTTGTATACCCCTTGGCGGAATCTCCTCGTAAGGTTAACAGTACAGCAAAATAAGTAAACGGTATAACTTTAAAAGGCAACAGGAGGCCCAGTTGCTTGACCCACCGTCTTCGGGTCCCAGAGTTCCGTTGGCAGTGGCTGGCGCTGTGGTCCTACAAATGCGGAACAGTCCCATGTTGCTCCTCACGAAAAAGGTCTTGGTCCGGTTCACGTAGATGCCCGGCTCGGGAGCCGTCACGCGGACCCACTGCTCCGACCCTATGCAGATGGTCCACATGAAGATGCCCAGAAGGACACCCAAGGTTGCCCACAGTAGGGCTCGCCGTTCGCACTGGATGACTGCCGCCACGTCCTGCCTGGGTCCCACCGCGGACTCGTGGAAGTGACGCGCCCTTTTGGACCTCCGGCTGCTGCCTCGGTATGCCCTCTTCTTCTTGGATGCCATGCTGGGTGATCAGCTATGGTTGCTGGAAGCGATGCTGAAGCGAGTGACGCTGAACCGGATTTAGAACTGCTTAGGAGCAGCACTCTAGTTAACTGGATTTGTGACCGAGTGCTCTTATATGGCGCAGTATAATGTTCTAGATTTTGAGACGCTCAACCGGTGTCAAGGAAATCTAAAGGAGTGTCCAGGAGTGTTCTGAGTGACAGCTGAAAAAGTTCAGGCCTGGTGCTTCACAGTTCCAAGCCGCAGTGCTGAACAACGCCTGAGAATGAAACTACTGAATTCAGCACTGAAGTGCTGCCGAACCAAAGTGTGACCGATGGGCCTTGCATCGAATTGGTGGCAACAAAAAAGAAACGGGAAATTAGGACAAGATTGAAGAAATTAGGGGAAGAATATATGGTGCTAATGCTAGACAAATGACAAGCTCTTTCTAGGCCGAGAATTTATATAGTTCAAGAAACCACATGACCTTTATGTTTCAGGAGCATGACTAATTACTATATTTCTTAGAGCTTTACCGTCTACTTTATGCGATGACTGCGCCATGCAACCTCGGGGCCTTGAGGCATGACAAACTAGGATTATGAAGAGTTTACAAATGTAATTGTAAATTAGCGAAGGTGGATGACTCTGGACCTGACTAGATATTCCAGTTTCGAGCCCGTACCGAGACTTCACATTTTTTCACGAAGCACAAACTGTTGAGGCCAGGTGACTGGGCATCGCCTTCGGTGCTGTTGTCACCATGCAAGATGCAGCAGGTTCTTGACCTGAAACAAGGAAGGATTATACACATCATTAACCCATGTTCAGTAGGTGTAGTCGGCGTTATGAATTTATGTATTCTACACGATACATAAAACGAGTGTACATTATCGGAGACCTTTTATACGATGAACGTGTTAATTTATATATTCTTATATTGCAACGAGTAAATTCTGTACTTAGCAGACGTCACTATTGCTACTTTCGCGAGACACCGTATTTTTGTATCGGTCTGAAGATATTTGAGCTTCATTAATTTAAATATTCCACAAAATGAATTCCTCATGCCAGAGTTTCATTCTCGCTTGTTTGCGTTTACGTGCTTTCTTTTTTTCTTTCTTTTTTCGACTTCTGTTTAGTTAACCCATGCGTCCTTTTTCCATTCTGAACACTTTTGAGGAATGCTTGTAGTGTAACATCATGCCGATTACAATTACGTCTTAAAATGCGATGCCCAACGAAAAGAAATCAACGAATAATAAATACTAGAAATGCAAAGAAAATCAGCGCTCGGAATGCTTCTACCAGAAGCCAGACTGTGCCTTACAAGCAGCTGTCGGAACACGGGGGCTGAAACAGAATCGCGACAGACGCCGAGGGTCCTCCTCTTCCTCCTCCTCCTCTCGATCTCCTCGCCCTCGTTCGCTCTAAAATAGCGGCAGTGTTCCCCCAGCGGTGTATGACCCTCCGATTCGGAGGAGACAGGAGCAGATTGGAGCTTGGTCCCGAAGTCCACAGGCTTTGCAGAGCGCGACTCTTGGCAGCCCTGTCCCCTTGAGAACAATGTAAAAGAAGAATTACGGGAGGTTTGCATGCCGTTTGCTTGGCACCCATTCGGATCTTCGGGGAGGTTGTGAGCTAGAGTTGGGTCGCGTTTCTAGAAGCTTCGGCGGGTTTGCTGCTTGGGGCGGGTCGGGCTCTATCAGCGATGATATGCGTAGGCCTTGTCTTCTTGGTGGAGTTTATTGCACAAGGGGTTTCAAAATCATTGTGGTGTGGTGGCCATCATAGCCCACCCCTGAAAAACAAAAGTCGAGGACCAACCGAAAAGGGAGTGAAAGGGGCAGTATTTTGATATCTCGACAAAAAATAACAAAAGAAGTAGCGAGGCTGTTTTATGCTGGAAAGCAGCCGGCTGTCCTAACGACACCTGGGGGATTTTCGAGAGAAGGCACCTCGTGCTTTCTGCGTTTTGTCAGCTCACCGCTTTGCCAGTGACATATCTTGATTTGATTTTTATGTACGTCTACTTTGGGGCCACAACTGATGTGATGAGATTTCAAACGCCAACGTGCTGGCAGTTTTCAATAGAACAAAAACAATGACATTGCCGCTGCCCTGTCGCACGACCCACTAGGTTCATCGTGTCATGGAAACAAATATCTCCTCATACTGCGGTTTTTATTTTCCTGGCAATCTTTAAAGCAGTGTTATAAGAAAATACTTGTATATTATATGTATTTTCCAACGGCCAGAAGCCCGAGCACATAGCTTTATCTTCGGCAGCTGCTCCTACTGAGTGAAAGTTCATGCTGCCGAAGTGCCTTTTTGTGCAAAGCTCGCGCTTGTAGACTAGTATAGTGGTGGTGTCGTTCCGGTTGATTTACATAAAAAGAGGCTGAGAAGCGAATATTAATAAAAACAGCAACACTCAGACCAAAAATGGAAAAAATAAAAACAATATATTGCTTAATACGTGGACACAGTGTTTGAGAATAGTTTTTTTTTTTTTTTCGAGCGGAAATAATCGAGGATATGAGACTAATATTTATGACGCATGTAGCACTGAAGACATGGGAACTGGGGCTCGCAGCTCGCAGCCTCGAGATGCTTGAAGGCCGCGTCCCAGTGAGTCGCGAGCCGCGTGTTCGAGACCCCTGGATTGAACCAACACCTTCTGGAAAGCAAGGCTAGATTCTCTACGTCACCCATCGCAAACAATGGCGATCATAGATCGGAAAGAAGGGCGGCGTCAACGTTTGGCTGGGATCTGTGTCACCTACACTTCTTTTTCTCGCGGAGAATGTGATTTTAACATCATTACGAGTTTCGAATGACGCTTTCAGTGACGCCAAGTTTTATTGTCCCCAAAGCTGGGTTTTCCCATTGTTTTCTATGTTTATTTTGCTGCTTTAGAGGCTCACTGCCAGCGCGTTCTCTGTCCCAGTTCCAGAAAAACACAGATGAAGAGGAGTGCCTATGTTAGCGCTACATGATGGCCAGGTTTACATCTTTCATTACACTTTCGATTTCAGCGATTATTGTAAGTGACGGATGGAGACACTGAATGTTCTCAGACCACTGCAACATTCGAGCCCTATTTCAGAACCGCGCCACGGTACCCCTATCAAGTGTCAAGTAAAGCGCTGTATAAGTTTTATAAACAAGTATACCATAAAGTACCGCCAAGCTGGTTCATGGTGGGACGCACTTGAGCCAAAAATGGCGGCATCTACAATAGACCCTTTCCGAAATTCAGTCTGGCCACTTTGATCACTATCATCATCTGTGGAACGGCATCTGTGCCATACGAATGGCGGCCTTCTAGTGACTGATAAAGGAAGACGTTGAAGATGCTCCTAAGCGGATATTGCGAGGCCTGTACGTTCGGGGGTCAGTACGAAGCGAAGTAGGGCTGGAACACAAGAGCTACGTAAGCGTTTATTTCTAATTGCTCAGATTCAGTCAATCTGTCGTGGCGCACAATCGGCTTTAAAGCACTTTGGTGTATAGAATTTTCTCGAGGCATCTCAGTGGGTTGGAGCTTTGTTCTGAATGCGCGTTCTTGGTCACCATAGACCTGAAAGTGATCGAGAAAGAACTCACACTGAACAATTCCTCGCGTGCCGTCGACTTGCGAAAGTGACGGTGCCGATACAAGTTCATTTCCGCCATTGATAGGGCAAAACCTAAACTGCTTTACGAACCACCAGATGGCACTGAATTTCTGAAAGGGTCTATTGACCAATAGGAGTGTGCTTCCAAACGGCGGTGCGTCGTGGAGTGCCAAAACAATGACGTTGCGTTTGGGCACTGCTTGATCGGTCTGACAGACTCATATCATCGGCTACGTTCTCAAATATAAGAGAACGAAGTAGAGAAATCGCTGTTCGCGCGTAGGCGAACAAACCGGCATTTTCTATTCGCGGGCTCTATTACGGGCACTCACTTTAAATGGTAAACCATAGAAGAAAAAAAAGTAAACAGGCTGTCGTTCTTACGGTTAATTTTAAAATCTCATTTATGGCAGAGCAATAAGAAGATGCTCGGAATAATGAAATAAGAGATACTGCACAGGCGAACTGCTCTACAATCATAGCGAAAACAAAAAAAAAAAAAAACATTGAGACTAGGGACACAAATTGGGACAACACAACACTCAAATTGTGAGAGGTGTTGTGTTGTTCAAATTTGTCCACTTGACAACACAATCTTTTTAGACGGTGTTGTGTGGTCCCAAGGTTTGTCCCCAGCCTCAAGTTCTTTTTTTGTTCACTATGCTTGGAATTTTTTACGACCTGCATTTCTTAGCCCGCCAGTCACAATAGAGAAAATTAACACGCATAACATCCTCCGCCCAGTCTTAATCTATCGCCTGTTTAGAGCTTCTGAACCTTACGCGTACCCTGTACATTGTATTTTGTTGTTCATTTTTTTCTCTTCTACCTGCGTCAATATGGTCTACTTCCGCTACATCAGCCACCGACATCCACCAAGCAGAAAACTCGATTAGGTCGATAGTTCCGGTCAACCGACCGTTAGGAAATGCGATACCCTGGGAACATTGAGTGGCTCTGTGACAGCAAAGACTATAGTCAGAGCCGAACAGCCAGAGATCTGCCAAAGAAAGTGATCGTAAAAAGACGAAACGAAATTGTCGTAAGCAGGGTTCCTTGTTTTTGGTAAATACCGATAAACCCCGAAACCTAATCACTCATTTGAAAGGTTAAAACCGCGAACAGAAGCACAGATGAAATAAGAAACACGTACGACCAGGACACGCGCCACATGCAGCGGATTTTATTAAACGTTCACCCAGTCAGACAGTCATTCACCATACCGATAACAGGCCATACACCGATAACATATCGGCAATCTTATACGAAGTAATCTAAAAAAAGACATTTCCTTATTCGGCAGAAAATATCTTATTCACGTGCGCTTCTAAACTTTTAAAAGATACGAAACAGCTAGACCCAGCCAAAGTTTTATTTAACCACCCAGCGGTTTCATCGAAATCAAAGAAAAACAAAACCAATTGGATTAAAATTATCTGGTGGGCTATTTGACTATACGTCTTGGTAAAATTAGCGCAAATTCCTCCCTTGCCTTTGCGCTAATTTTACCTGAATTGGAGCCTTCCTTGAATGGTAATAAAGCTCAGCTTCACGAGAAGAAAAACCTTTGTCTATGGCTTTATTTCGTATTAACTCGGAACACAGCCACAAATGAAACGTCTACGAGACTGCTTTTTGCTTCGGAATCGTTTGCTTTTCCTATCGGTACGGGGACATCTTCCAAGTATTTTGGTCACGCGCATATGTTCCCTTGAGGTTGCAGAACCCCATTTCCTTGCCTTATATTCTTTGACACAATCCCCGATAAACGCCGAGTTTTTGTGTCCGACACTGAAAGCAGACGTCGAAAAACACCGAAAACTGGTAAAACGGACACCTCAACAAAGAAACACCCCGATGTTGAAGAAACATTAACCACGAAAACACGGAACCCTAGTTATAAGGGAGCATATGTACCGGTTATGAGGGAGCATACGACGGTACGAGAGCGTCCTTCACTGTAAAGAGATTTTTACTGTGGAACTAAACGTGCATCTTGAGTTTACGAAAATGTTATTGTCGTTAAAAAGAAGAAGAAAAGAAACACGTTTGGAAAGTCTTATATAAAAACAAACATTGACCCAATGTTACATTTCTTGATGACCTTGGGAAACCTTTGTAACAGATAGCAAATCAGAATGTGACCGTTTTCAGTCAGATGTTATTTCG